GCGGCACAGCCCGCAGCCCGGGGCGTCCCTCCTCGCGGACCCTGGCCCAGGGCACAGTCCACCCGCCCGCGCGCCCACCGGTGTCTGCTGCCGCAATTAGCGCCACTGAAAAAGCAGAAACGCCGGTCCCTTTGGACCGTCTCCCCCTCCTCACTTTTCGGACTCAGAAATGTGGCCCAGGCAGCCCCCTTGTGGCACTTGGGGGCGCCACAGACTCTTGGCTGGTGTCTGAAGAATTCAGACTGTCTGATTCCACCGCATCGTGAGTTGGCACAAATCTTAAGTGGCCCAACTCCTACCCGACGCAGAACTCCTCTGGCTGCTGTGCTGAGTAGGGGGCTCCTCTCCCTCCCCCTCCCGGGCCGCATCTCTCCCTCCTTCTTCCTGGAAGGGACCTGCGCTCTCCTGTTGAACAGTGCTCTGACAAGCAGACAGGTGTCTGGCAATCGTGGCAGTGGCCAGGGGATGTGGTGGGAACAGGGTCTTTCCTTGCAATGAGGTTGCTTTCCATCTCTCTCAGAGATGGGAAAATGAGGTGAGGGGAGGCGTGGGGTCCCTGTCTGTGTCAGAGTTAGGGCTGGGTACCCCCCTCAGGGGTCCCAGCATCGGGCACTTTTCCCTAAGGCGAGGGGCTACCCTAAGAGGCGTCTGCTCCCAGCTGTCAAGCCTGAGCCTCTTAAAGCTGGTTCTTCCCATCAGAAGCCCTGGAGGGCCCCTAGATGTTCTCTGTCCTCTCTAGCTCACTGTCCACACAAACAAACCCCAGCCCCCTCCATCTCTATCTGCAATCTGCTTGCAGACAGGCAGAGCCCTCTGCACATCAGGTTAATAATGCCATTTTCATAAGCCTCTGCCCATAGGTGCTAACACCTAATTTTGAATCTGCCCTTCAAACGGATTGGGCCACAGAGGAGCTGGGATCTCAAGCACCGCTGGGAGGTGCTTATAACTAATCAATCCATCCCCTGCCCACCCACACCCCCCCAGCACTCGGCACAGCCTCGCTGAGCAGTCTTCAGCAGCAGGGTGTGGTGGGGAGCCTCGAAGAGCCTGGGGTTCCATCCTGACCCAACCTCACACCAGCTGAGACGGTGAGTATGGGACTTCCCTTTCTGTGCCTCAGTTTCTTCATCAATCAAATGGGGATCATGAGATTATTGCCCAGTGACTCCTGTGCAGGCAGCTCAGCTCGGGGCTCTTGGATGGAGCTCCATGAATGCCAACTGCCCTCAGTCCCCTGGATCACCTTGATGTATACTGACTTGTTCCCTGTTTGTTTCCCCCACCAGACTGACTGAGCTTCGGGGACAGGAAGCTGACCGGCATCACCTCATCCCCAGCCTCACTCTCGGGTCAGGTCTGGGCCCGGGGAAGGTAGGTGCACTGCGGGGTTTGGGAAATGAGTGAGTGGAGGGATGGCAGCTCCCCAGTCTCTGGGATGCCTGGAGCCTGCTGGCTTGTCCTCCCCAGACCCCTCTCTGTGTAAGGTGGCCCTTCAAAAGTAGCAGGGAAAAATAATTTTTTATGCCTTCATGCTTTGCCTACGGTGCTGTTATATATGATGCAAATTCTAAGTCCGTTAAATGCAGACGTGGGCTCTGCATGTCATTTCTGCTGCCTGCTGCATCTACTGTGAGTCCCGCAGGCCGGGGGCTGCCTGCATCTGACTTGATTTGTGCGATTAAGCCGGCAGAGGGGACTCTGCCAGGAGAGGTTCCCGTCTGTATGCGGTGCAGGGTCTTGAAAGGCCAGATTGTTTTCTCTCTTAGGACACTTGTTACGTGTATCCCTCCCTCCCGGGTTCCTACCGTTGACCCCACAAGCATTCATGGAGTGTCTTATGTGTGCTAGGCTACTCATTGAGTCCTTTCTTCAAGCTGATGAGAGAAAAACTCTCATCTCCGTTTCACAGGGGAAAAACCGAGGCTCTAAAAAGTCAAGGGAATTGCCGTGGCCTCATAGCTGGAAAGCTGGGGTCGAGTCGGTCAGTCTGCACAGGGAGCCCCCCAGTTCTGCCGCAGCTGCTGCTGCCGCTGCTGCAGGGCTGACCAGGGCCAGCCAGCAGCTTCCGCGGGAAAGGCAGGGGGCTTTGCCTAGAGATCTTTCTCCCTGGCAACTGGCGAAGGGGCCATAAAAAAAATAAAAAAAAAAAACAAGAGGGCTCAGAGCTGCTTAACAGATATACGTGGAACAGCCCCTTGGGAAGCATCACGCCCTCCCCTGGGCTTCTGGCAGAACAGCAGGGCAAAGGGCTCTGTCCAAGGTGCCAAGAGGCAGAGAGGAGGTACCCCAAACAGGTGTAGAGGCCCCCAAACCTGTTCAGATGTGGGTGGGGGTTTCTATTTAGCACAACACTGACAGGAAAGTGAGCTGGCAGCCTGCAAAGACCCGAGGACAGAGGGGCTGGGGGCTGCTGCCAGCCGCAGAGGCAGCAGGCAGTCGAGGGCTGAGAAGAGCAGCTCAGCGTGTCAGCAAGCTGCTCGGGGAGGAAGGAAGCTCCCTGTTACGGGAGGCATCCAAGCAGAGAGGCAGGCCAGTGCTGGCTGAGGAGGCTGCAGTGCAGCTTCCTGCCTGGGCTGGCAGCCCTCTATCCAGGCCTTGGAGAAGCTCCCCCAGTTCTAAGTGCTGAGCAAGTGAGTGGGGCTGACCTGCCGGGAGCAGGCTGGGGTCAGGGCAAAGATGCACAGTCTTTGTGGTCTCATTTGCCCCCGGGGCTAAATGGCAAAACTGTAGAGACGGGGAGGGGGGACACCTCTGTCCCACTGAGGCAGTGAGGGAGGGGCACAGAGAATGAGGGTGAGTGCTTGGGTCTGTGGGGATTGTGGAGGCTGTGCCAACTGTAGTGACCAAGTGCCAGCACAACCCCCAGACCCAGAAATGCTGGCCCGGGGCCCCTCTGGGCAGTAGGGTGGCTAACTATGGAGGGAGTAGGGTCGGGGGATCTGGTTAATTGAGGTGTCAGTCAGTCATGGAAAATGTCTGTTTTGGAGGCTGGGTCATAGCCACAGGTCCATCTGGCTGAAAGACTGTGATTTGGATGCTCAGGGACTCAAGAAAGCCCCCTCACCTGCACTGGGGACGAGGGATCTGCATGCACATGATGCAACTCATGGTGGGGCCCAGAGTTGCCCCTCACCACATTCCCAGGGGCTGTGGGTAGACAGGCCCTCATCAGAGGGGCCTCTGCTCAACACGCCTGTGTTCTGCAGCGCCTAAAGGAGTTCCTGCTCTTTGTTCCCA